CGCGATCTCCTCCCCGATCCCGGAGTTGCAGCCAGTGACTGCGCAGACCTTGCCCCGCATGTGCTGCTGCTGCTGCTGCTGCTGCTGCTGCCCGCACAGCAAAGACACTGCGGCCTCCACCAGCACAAACAGCCGCGGCCGAAGATCTCGCGGGCTCAGAGAGGTGGGGAGGCGGTAGCCCTCGGCGAGTCTGCAGAGGGCCCAGGTCCACAGCACTGCTGCTGCTGCTGCTGCTGCTGCTGCTGCGCTGCTGCAGCACGCTGCTGCAGCTGCAGCAGCGCTCCCCGGGAAGCACGCGCACACTGCTGCTGCTGCTGCCACACTCGCCAGCACGAACAAACCAGCTGAAGTCATTGAGTCGTGCAGCATCGCCCGCAACTGGCTGCCGCAGCGGAAAGGCGAAGCCTCGGCACCCATCTTTGCTGCTGCTGCTGCTGCTGCTGTGGCTGTGGCTGTGGCTGTGGGCGGTGGAGGGAGTGCGAGCGGCAGCGCGCTCGGGCAGACAAACTGGGAGAGGTAAATAAGCTGGTGTTGGGTTGAAACAAAGGAAATAAAGTAAAAGAAAAGCTCGCTGCAACCTGCAGCAGCAGCTGCTGCTGCTGCTGCTGCTGCTCCAGCCACGCGCAGCACCGCCTACCGCCCACCAGTCGGCAGCCACCCGGCCCCCCAAACTCCCCGAAAAACAGATCCTTGTCTACTGAAGCAACAGTAGTAAATAAATAAATAAATAAATCTGTCATTAAAATTATTAAATGCAGAATGCGACGCCCGAGACGAGCTGTCTGTACACCTGACCACCGCGCTGCTGCGACGCGTCGGCTCCGCCTCGTACGGCTCTTCGGCAGCAGCAAATTGGGAATTTAGCAAAAATAATAATTAAAAAATACTAAAAGACAAATTAAAATAGTTTTAAACTCATATGCTTAGCCTCGAAGCCACTGGCAGCAGCAGCAACAGGCGCAGCAGCAGCAGCAGCAGCCGCACAGGCGCAGCAGCAACTGCAGCAGCAAAGGCAGGCTATTGCAGCTAGCTGCAGCCAACCAGCTGGCCAAAGGCCCTTCAGCTAGCCAAGAAGGGCTCCAGAAGGCCTAAATGCACCCCAGCAGCAAGCGCAGCAGCAGCAGCAGCAGCAGCAAACACAGCAGCAGCAGCAGCAGAAGCAGCAACAGCGGCAGCAACAGCATGACTAGCCACTGCCAGCTAGCTAGCCACTGCCACTTCAGCTAGCCAAAAAGAGCTGCAGCTAGCCCAAATGATGACTGTCTTCTTGAGTCAAGAAAAGCGAAGATAAATGATAAATAAATAATAAATAAAAAATAGATAAATAAACATATGAATGAGTAAATAATTAAGAACTATAAATAAATAAATAAATAAATAAATAAATAAATAAATAAATAAATAAATAGTAAATAATAAATAAATAAATAAAAATCAATTAATTAGTTTCCCAAATATACAATAAATAATAGACCCATTAGTTAATTATTTGTTCAATTAATAAATTTAATTAATTAAAAAATAAATAATAAAAAGCTGCTGACACCACACCCTCCCTTTGGCTTAATTAATTAATTAACTAATATTTATTATTATTATTCTATTTTCACAAATTGCTTTTATTTTTAATTTAAAAAATAAAAAACCCAAAAGTCCGATAAAAACTTACACGAGGTTTTGGGGTGTCCATACACCCCAGCCTGCTTGAAAGCCAAACGAACACAGAGCGCTGCTGCTGGTGCTGCTGCTGCGGCTTCTGCTGCTGCAGCAGCTCCAGCAGCAGCTGCAGCAGCAGCCGCAGCACTAACTGCAGCAAAAGCTGCATACACCATACACCGCTGCAGCAGCAACAGCTGCAGCACTAACTGCAGCAAAATCTGCATACACCGCTGCAGCAGCAGCTGCAGCACTAGCTGCAGCAGGAGCTGCAGCAGCAACCGCCGCAACAGCTGTAACAGAAACTGCAGTATTAGCTGCACGAAAAGCTGCAGCACTAGCTGCAGCACTTGCTGCAGCAGCAACTGCAGCACCGGCTGCAGCGCCAACTGCAGCGCTAGCTGCAGCACTAGCTGCAGCAGCAAACTGCATTATTAGCTGCTGCAGCACAACTGAAAAAAGTCTAAAGTACCTTCTCGTAATGGTCTATTTGTGCTGCTGCAGCAGCAAAAAGAACAGAGACAAATAGAATGCCAACAAGAGAGAAGCAGCAAATGGAAGGAAGCAGCAAAAGCGTCAATTGGCTTTTGCTGCTTGTCTTTTATCTCCTTAGCTTTTTCTACAGACAATCTTCGCCAAAAAGACCATCTGCTGCTGCTGCCGCTGCTGCTGCTGCTGCTGCAGCAGCAGTGGGCGCAGCGTTTGTTTCTGCTGCTGCAGCTGCCGCTGGAGCTGCTGCTGCTGTTGCTTCCTTTCTGCTGCAGCCCTGCAGCAGCAGCAACAGCGGGGTGTCTGTACATCTGAGCGCATGCGTTTGCAGCACTCCAAGCAGTTGCTTTTCATCATTTAAATCCTTTTCTCATTTCTTCTTCAATTGCTGTTACGTCTTCCAACATTGCTGCAACAGATTGGCAAACAGAGCTGATCCCGAAGGCGCATGCAGACACGGGAGCAGCAGCAGCAGCAGCAGCAGCTGCTGCTGCTGCTGCAGCGAAAGTCGAGGACAGAAGCTGCAGCTGCAGCAGCAGCAGCTGCTGCTGCTGCTGCGACATGAGATTTTCATAGTTATACTGGGCTGGCTCCAGCTGCTGCTGCTGCAGCAGCTGGTACTGCAGCTGCTGCTGAACAACCTGCTGCTGCTCCCCAGGAAGACAGAATTGCTGCTCCTGAAGCGCCACCTGCGGCAGCTGCTGCAGCATTACCTGTTGCTGCTGCAGCTGAAGGACGTGCTGCTGCTGCTGCTGCTGCTGCAGCAGCAGCTGCTGCTCGAGCTGAGGCTGCACAGCTTGCTGCTGGTGTTGCCACAGCAGCTGCGGCTCCTGCGGGTCCGTCGGCTGCTGTTGCTGCTGCAGCAGCTGCTGTTGCTGCAGCTGTTGTTGGTGCTGGAGGTGGTGGTGCTGCAGCTGCTGTTGGTGCTGCAGCAGCTGCTGCTGCTGCAGCTGCTGTTGGTGGTGCAGCAGCAGCTGCTGCTGCTGGAAATCCACCTGCTGCTGCACTGGGTAACTCAGGGGAGCCAATTCTGCTTCTAGCTGAGCTGCTGGCTGCTGCGGGACTCTCCGGCGTGGGCCTGCCGCTGCTGCTGCTGCTGCTGCCGCTGTTGCTCCTGCCGTGGGCCTGCCGCTGCTGCTGCTGCTGCTGCCGCTGTTGTTGCTGCTGCTGTTGCGGCTGCTGCTGCTGCTGTTGCTGCTGCTGCTGCTGTTGCTGTTGCTGCTGTTGCTGTTGCTGTTGCTGTTGCTGCTGCTGCTGCTGTTGCTGCTGCAGCTGCAGAAGATCCAACTGGGAGGGCTGAAGCGGCTGCTGCTGCGGCACCTGAGACGGCTGCTGCTGCTCTAGTGTCTGTACACCCTGGATCTCCCGATTGAGGGGCTCGCACCACTCATGTGGAGGCACGTACCAGCCTGCATGCTGCTGCTGCTGCTGCTGCTGCTGTTGCTGTTGCTGCTGCTGCTGCTGTTGCTGCTGCTGCAGGCGAGCGGGAGTTTTGTGTTTGAATTGCTGCTGATCGTCGTGCTGCAGCTGCAGCTTCCACCTGAAAAGCGTCTGCTGGTCATCCGCTTGCCAAAGCCAGTTTTGCTGCTGCTCCTGCTGCGGCTGCTGCTGCTGCTCATGCAGATGCGGCAGCATTTCTGGTTGCTGAAAGACGTATTGCTGAAGCTGGTACTGCTGCTGCATGCGCGTCGAAGACTGCAGTAGCCACTGCGGCTCCTGCTGCTGCTGCTGCTGCAGCAGCAGCAGCTGCTGCTGCTGCTGCTGCTGCTCCTCTTCTTCATCCGAAGCAACAGACAACAAGTCGCGCCACGTCCGGGGACAAGATGCTTCAGAAAGAAAGCCATAACTTGCCAGCCCAATGGAAGCGACAGCTGCTGCTTCAATTGATGCTGAGGCGAGTGCTGCAGCAGCAGCTGCATCCATTGCAGCAAGAGGTTCCATTACGAACCCCGTTGCTGCTGCTCTAGCAGCAGCAGCAGCTGCTGTCACTTCTGTTGCTGCTGCGTTACCGGGGTCCGAGGCAGCGGCCAGCGCCTCCTCTTTCAACCCCGCTGCTTCTGCTGCTGCAGGCAGCGCCGCTGCTGCGGGCGGTGCTGCTGCTGCGGGCAGTGCTGCTGCTGCTGCAGGGAGGGCCTCTCCCGCTGCCGTTGGCTTCAAGCTTATTGCGTTTTGGCCCAGAAAGCGACTGTGCTGCGCCTTGTTGAGAACTGGGGCTTGAAATTGCTGCTGCAGCGAGCCCGCGGCAAGCGGGTGCGAAACGAGGCAGGGGCCCCCCAAGGCGCCGGCCTGGTTGGTGCCGAACATGTTGATTAAATACAAATAAAGAATAATTAAAATAAAAGCGATAAAGAAACGACAAATGCAGACTTGCCGGTGGGGCGGTGACAGTCACATTCCAGCCGAAACGCGCCGCGGAGGCAGAACTTGAACAGGGCCCATCAGAGGTGTTCTCGCGTTTAAATTCGATTTTTAAAAAAACAGACGCAGAAATATGAAAAGAAAAAACTCCAATTGAGTCTTGAAAAGAGGAAAAACGGCCAGAAGACAGTCGAAACCTGAACTCACCGGCAGTGCACTCGCGGCCGCATTGGCGAGAAGGCGCTGTGCAGAACTGCAGCAAAAGCAGCACCCGCCCAAGTGAAATTCCTTTTATATTTTGTTTGAAAAATGATAAAAATGCAACAAGTGGGACAGACAGGCGAGCGCGGCGGGAAGTGACCACTGCCGACGCAATTCAAGTTTTGCACGCCGCTGTCCACAGCCCGATCCAGCCGATTTGAGAGCACTTTGAAGAGCCTTTTGAAGAGAAAAAGACCAAAAATAAGTTTAAAAATTCCGCCAAATTAGAAAAAGGCAAAAGCAAAGAAAGAAGACGCGGGTTTCCGTCGGCTTCGGACTGCGGCGGCGGAGGTGACCCTGCTGCCAGTGGCGCTACAGGCAGATCTACAGGCGAAGCCCAGCAAATTTTCCAGACAACTACACCGCAAAAAGCTCAAATTAGAAGCAAACTTTACTTTAAATTAAACCTTTTGGCCTCGTGGAAGCAGAAGTTCCGGCGGAATGCACCAGTGGCCCCGCCGCCGAACGCGCCTGTCCAGCAGAGCTTGCGCGCCCGCGCTAGCCCGAAGCTGCGCTTTGCTTGGTTTCGAAAGAACTTGAATTGCAGCGAAATGCAAACTCAAAAGAATTTGAGACTTTAAAGGCGAAAGCGGCTTTCCTTTGCTGCAGCAACGCCGCAGCAGAGCCGCAGCAGGTGGGTGGCCTGAGAGCCTGCGGCGCTGCCACGGGAAATCCCCAGAAATAGACGCGTCAGCAGCTCTTTTGCAGCCAATCTCCGAGTAATCCGCTTTAATTTCGAAGCATGTTTCAAGTTTTTTGTTTTACTTTGTCCAAATGGGCAGCTGGAGCTCCAGCTAGCCAGCTGGGGCTTGAGCCCGCAGCAGCCCGTGGGCGCACAGACCAGACCAGGGGGCGCCGAGCTGCATTTCTTTGTCTTTGAACGTTTAAACTCGAGAACTTTTAATTATTTGTTTATTATTTGGTGGTTAATATCTCATTTCCCCTTTTCAACTCCTTTTTCCCGCATTTGCTGCTGGACATTTCAACAAGAGAGCCAGCAGCAGCAGAATGCATCGAGGCGCCGTTCAGGTTCTGCTGCTGGGGGCGGAGAGAAGTTTCTTGTCTTTGTTTGGTTTTATTTATTTCTTTAAATGCACTAGCAGCATTTTAGAATACATATTTCAGCTTTGCTGCAGCCAGTAAGCTTCTGCTGCAGCAAAAACCCAAAGCCCACAGCAGCAGCAGCAAACTCGAGCTGGAGGAAGCTAGGAGTTAAGAAGCTGCTGCAGCGCCGCAGCTGCCCTGGGCAAGCTGTCTTCCCCCTTAACCCTAAACCCTAAACCCTAAACTCTAAACCCTGAGGGGTGTTTTGCTATTTCTGTTAAGTCTAGCAGTTAAATCAACACTACAAACATTCCAAATGCATGCTTCTGGCACGACGGGCAGCAGCAAATGCCATTTGGAGAAAAGCAAAAGAAGCAATAGCTGCTGCTGTGGGGACACAAACCCTAGCCAAGCAGCAGCAGCAATGTGAGCCTAGCAGCTGCAGCAGCACGTGCTGCAGCAGCAGCTGTAAAGCCACGCGGCCTCTGTCTTTCCGCCGCTGCTGCTGCAGCACATCCTGCAGCAGCATGGCCGTGCCTGCACCCTTTTGCTCCTGCATCGCTGCCGCAGCACCACAAGCTGCGGCAGCAGCAGCAGCCGAAGCAGCAGCAGCAGCAGCAGCAGCTAGCTGCCGAACTGCATCCCTTTATTCCCGCTCAATACCTTTTCTCCAAATTAAATTGAAGATAAATAAATATCAATTTATTTATTTTATTTTAATTGTCTTCTTCTTCTGTGTCTGCTGCCAGCAGCTCCTGCAGCACTGCTGCTGTCTCTCGGGGGTTTCGAATCCACAGCGCCGGCGAGCAAATTCTGCAGCAGCAGCAGCAGCAGCAGCAATTAAGGAGAAACAAACAGGAAGCCCTTCATATTTGGTAGGTGCGGCAGCAGCAGCAGCAATTAAGAAGAAGCAAATAGCAAGTGTTTCTTATTCAATGGGCAAAGCAGCAGCAGCAGCAAAGAGAAGAACCAGGCAGCACGCGCTCGCCATTTAGTAAGCGCAGCAGCAGCAGCAGGAGCAGCAACTAAGAAAAGGTAGGCAGAAAATGCTTCTAATGAAAAAGGACTCCAAAGAATAGCAAGAAGACACAAACAACAATTACTCTTCCAATAATTATAATGATAAAAATAATTAAAAAAAATGCAAATAAAAACAAAAACAAATAAAAATAAACAATAAAATAATAATAATAATAATGATAATAATAATAATAATAAATAGTAATAATAGATAAAATACTAATAATAAATAATAATAAATAATAATAAATAATAATAAATAATAATAAATAATAATAAATAATAAATAATAATAAATAATGATAATAAACAATAATAATAATAAATAATAATAAATAATAATAGCATGTAATAATAATAATAATACAAAAAATAGTAATAAGAAGACCTAAAAATGCTAATAATAAATAATATTAAAAATAAAAATAGCATAAACAGTAACCAATAATAAATACAAATGAAAAAATAAAAATAAAAACAAAAATAAAAATAAGGAGAAAATAAATAAAAGTAAAGAGTAGTAAAGCAACAACAGCACTAAGAATAAAACAAAATAAATAAATAAATAAAATAATAAAATAATAAAATAAAATAAATTAAAAATAATTGAAATAAATAAGTTAAGCAATTAAAATAAGTGCATAAAATAAATGAAATAATAAAATTAATAAAATTGAAACAAATAATATAACAAAGCACATAAATAAAATAAATAACGATTTGAAAGTAGTATAAAAACAAAACAAAAACAAAAACAAAAAGACAAAATAAAAAAAAAATAAAATAATTAATAAAAACAAAAAGTATTAAACAGCAGTAGCACACACTGACACCAGTAAAGTGATAATGCCAGAAGAATATAAATAAATAAAAAATAAATAAAAATAAGGAGACAAAGGTGCAAATAGTAATAATAAGAATAATAATATTAATAATAATAATAAAATAGTAATATTAATAATAATAGCAATAATAACTTTAATGGCATTATTAACAAAATAGCAGCAAAAGCACGGCCGCAGCAGCATCCCCTCGACCCCTGCAGCAGCAGCAGCAGCAGCAGCAGCGTTGCTGCTGCTCCTGCTGCTGTTCCTGCATCAGCAGCAGCCTCGCTGCTGCTGGTGCCGCCGCTGCGGCAGCAGCAGCAGCGCCGCCGCCGCCGCCGCCGCCGCCGCCGCCGCCGCTGCTGCTGCTGCTGCTGCTGCTGCTGCTGCTGCAGCAGTACCTGGCAGCCAAGTCGTTGCCCACGAGGCTGAACTGGTCGCCCACGTGGAGGCACTGCTGCGGCAGCAGCTGCAGCAGCCCCTGCAGCAGCGCAACACCTTCGGCTTTGTTGCCCGCGTCCACCCAGATGTCGCAGCCCCCGCTGAACACGCTGTACGGCACTGCGAAGTCCGCCCCTGCAGCAGCAGCAGCAGCAGCAGCAGCAGCAGGGGCAGCAGCAGCAGCGGGAGTTGCGGCTAGTTGGGAGGCGAACACCTGCTTTCGCTGCAGCAGTGGCAACAGCAGCAGTGGCAGCAGCGGAAGTGGCAGCAGCAGCAATGGCGGCAGCAGCAGTGGCAGCAGCAGGAGTGGTAGTGGTACCAACAGCAGCAGGTGTAGTTGCAGCAGCAGCAGCAGCAGCAGCAGCAACAGCAGCTAACCGAAAGCCATTCGAATGTCTCTGCGTATTCTCATAACTGCTTCCTCCAGCGTCTCCTTGTGCATTCCCTTGTTGTCCACACAGCCAAAGCGGACACCTGCAGCAGCAGCAGCAGCAGCAGCAGCAGCAGCGAGGCTCGTGAGCAGCTCTTTTTCCACCAGGCATTTCTAGCCATAAGCCCTCAAATAAAAGAAGAAAGTAAAATAGTAAATAAAATAAAATAAACTAAAATAAAATAAAATAAAATAGAATTAAAAGAAGAAAGCTGCTGCCACAAAAAGAGCAGCAAAAGCAACGAGTGAAGGAAACATCAAATTGAAATCCACTTCTAACTGCAATTACTTTTAATATTAAAAAAATAAAAAGAATAAAAGAATGAAAAAGAAGAAAAGAACCAAAAGAAGAAAAGAATCAAAAGAAGAAAAGAAGAGCAGCAGCAGCAGCTGCTGTCAGCAGCAGCAGCAGCAGCTGCTCTCAGCAGCAGCAGCGGCTGCTGTCAGCAGCAGCAGCAGCTGCTGCTCACTGCTAGCAGCATCTTCCAGCGGCACCAGCCCCACAGCGCGCTGCTTTCGAATAAGAGTTCCTTTTAAGTTTAATTCTTTTGCTGCTTTAAATAAAGA